AATAATAATAATAATAATAATAATATAATAATAATAATAATAATAATAATAATAATAATAATAGTAATGTCACTGATAATGATGATGATTATAATGATAATGATGGTGGTGATGCGGAGGTGGAGGTGGAGGAAGAGGATGATGCCGATAAGGAAGATGATGATAAGAAGGATGATGAGGATGATATTATGATGATGTTGATAATGATGATGAGTATGTTGGTGATAGAAGCCTACTGTAGCAGCAGCAGCAGTAGTAGTAGGCCTAGTAGTAGTAGCAGTAGTAGTAGTAGTAGTAGTAGTGTAGTAGCAGTAGCAGTAGTAGTAGTAGTGTAGTAGCAGTAGAAGTAGCAGTAGTAGTGTGGTAGTAGTAGTAGCAGTAGCAGTAGTAGTATAGTAGTAGTAGTAGTGTAGTAGTAGTAGTAGTGTAGTAGTAGTAGCAGTAGTAATGTAGTAGTAGTTGTAGTAGTAGTAGTAGTAGTAGTAGTAGTAGTAGTAGTAGTAGTAGTAGTAGTAGTAGTAGTAGTAGTAGTAGTAGTAGTAGTAGTAGTAGTAGTAGTAGTAGTAGTAGTAGTAGTAGCAGCAGCAGCTGCAGCAGCTATATCAGATGCTAAGCGAGAATTCTTGGTGTTTTCGGTGTAATGCTCTACCGTATCTTCTCAATCAGTATTATTTATCAAATTAACTTTAAATATTTACCGGGCATTTAATATTACTGTTGTAGTATCCGTCTTCTTCGGAAGGCAAATGGCGGGATCTTGACAACATCACTACTGGTACTTGTTACTTGACGGGATAATCCTAAAAAGCCAATTTTGCCTATACAGGATGGTGCTTACTTTGAGAGCCAAAATTTACGATTATGTTACACAAATGCATTTCAGTTATCTTTTTATTTTCTTTTATATTTTCATTTTTTCTGTTTGTTTTTGCAGGATATTAAGCAGCAAGTGGCGAGTTGGCTCAGCGGCCATTAATTGTCTTCAAACCTGTTCGATGCTGCGTACGATTGAGAAGAGCTTGGTATTGTTGCAGTGGCGGATCTGGGGTAGGGGTAAATAGGGTGGCTAGCCACCCCTATTCAGTGACCGAGAAAAAAATATATGGTTACTCGTCTGGTGTGTGTGCTTCTCATGTATACATGTTACATGTATTAGGCTACTCTCGTAAAACATAGGCCTACACTTTCTATTTTAAGCTGAACTTCTTTTCAGATGTCATCAAAGAGCGCTAGCCGTCTACTAAATACAAAAAAATTCAAATGGGAGGGAATGCCCTGTCTCTTATACACATCTACTGTTGAGTGAGGTTGGTTCCCTCACTTTTCGTCTGCAATGTAAAAATTTCATTAATAAGTCAAGAAGATGCCTGAAAATTGTTGAAATGAACTGCATAAATGACCCAGGTTTTAACAAAATTGTGCTGTACAACCGGTACTCTGTCCCTGCCGACATTGCACAAACATATGAATTACTTATAATACACGACTATCAGTTTGGCGCAGCGGTTGACGTTTGGGCTTTCAATAGTAAGGTCGGAGGTTCAATTCAATTCAATTCAATTCAACATTTATTTACTTCCTTTTTGAATCAGACAAATATATTACAATTGATTTAAAATAAATTGAAAATGTAGGAGAGGAAGAAGGCAAGAACCCGAGAAGATAAGAAAAACCAATCTTGTGGAGGGACAGCCTGAAATAAGAGGGGAAAAAATGAGATTAACAAAAGAGACAGTCTCCGCTGTGCAGATTCGCTTGTGTCCTTGGGCAAGGCACTTTTGCTACATGCTTCAGTCCACCCAGCTGTATCAACGGGTACCAGCAAACTGCTGGGGACTAACCTGCGACGGACTAGTGTCCCGTCCAGGGGGAGTACAACTCTCATCCGCTTCACACTACAGAAACTGGGTTCCAGGCCTATGAGCCCCAGTGGCTCGGAAAGGATTTAGTAGTAGTATGTGAAATAAAACCTTTAATAGCTCACTTAAAGATTTATAAAATGTTATTGTAAAACCATGTACAAACTGTCAAATTCTAAACATGTGTCAAGCTTAAATTTAGTCATGATGACATCACATCATTGCCATACCGTAAAACCTCAAATTGAAGCCCAGTGGGCCTAATCTCGAGATGAAGCCCATCTTGAATTGAATCCAGTTCTCTAGTTTGCAAAATTAGCCTCGAAAAGAAGTCCATGGGCTTTTTTTCAAGATAGCATAGGCTTCTTTTCGAGATAGTACAGTACATACATTGTACATGAATTTCAAAAAACAAAATAAATTGAAAACAAGCTTGGAAGAAGAAGAAGAAGAAGAAGCCCAGGGCTTTAATTCGAGGTTTTACGGTATATGCACAACATGACAATATAATGGGCATACAACAGTTTTTTGTCAAAATTTGATAGTGTGGGGACAGAGCTTAAGTCACACATAGAAAACTCACATTAGTATTTTAAAGACTTAAAAATGCTTTTAAGACTTCTAATTTTCATCTGAAAGATAATAACTTACCGTATTGAATAAATTACAACACATGGTTTGAACTGTGCATGCGCGTATCCCGTAGTATCCAATACGTTTACATCGATTGACCTTGATACGAGCATGCGCAGTTCTAACTATGAACTGGCTTTTATAGTACAATATGCAATTCTTTTGTCTTTATAGATTAATTAGGTGACAGATTAAGTAAGTTAGCCTTTAGGCCTCATAGAAAATTATTAAAAATAAAATAATTCACCGCCAATTAGCAGACGCATATGCCTGCATGCCATTCCTATATTCAAATTTTATTTCAAAAATGGTATACCGGTAATAATTATAACATATAGTTTTTTGTGACTAGTTACTTTGCATTTATCAGGAGGAAACACATACAATTTAGAATAAATTTACCCATGATACCTTATCGTTAACAATTTCGTTATAATACATAAGATCCATGAATGTTAGGATTAATGAATGGTTAATTAAAATCTGCTTATCAAAACAAAATCTGTTTCTGATCTGCTTGATTACTTTTTATAAAATGTACACAAAATATGTACGTATCTCTATCATCGTCACTTTGCCAAAATGTTTTAATTTTGTTATTTAACCATGGTTAAAGATATAATTGGCGTAATATGCACATTAGTACTGCTACAAAGTATTAAGTTTAATTCAATTTCATTAAAACTCATCTCGCAGCACAGCTGGTTACATGAGTGTAGCATGGTTAAAGAATTAAATTGATTAGCCAATGAATGAACAACCTTCTCCCGACCACCATCAAGGGGTGGGCGGGTTCTACTTTGAAAACGGGTGGCACCAGTCAACGTACATACTATAGAGTAATAAACAACTTTCTACCCATCATGTTATACTCGTACACTTTTGGAGTCTTCGGCTTACCCACCAGAACTAACCAAGCTACATTCGTACTGATGATGCTGATGGTTGTCAGCGAAACTTTTTACGTTCAAAAAGTAAGCAATTTTGGGAAAAAAAATTTCAAATCAAATTGTTTCAATCATTTGAAAATAAAATGTTGCAACGTTTCCTAGAGAGGCATCCTTCCTCTTATTACAATGATGAAAATTTTGTTTGTAGTCTCAAAATGTAAATGTGTCCTCACTTAAGATAGTTAGATACTCACTGGTTGTGTCGCCAAGTTTACTTGGGTTAAAAAATGTAGGTCTTCAGTTTGAATAACAGGGGCCTACGGTATGTTTATTTGAATAATATATAAATGAGACAGAGAGCATTAAAATGATTAAATGATGTGGCTATCCTAGGGCAGACTATAGTACCTGCAGGGGGAACAAAAAAGTGAAATCACTAATCACCTTGATGTACGCCCTCCATACATCAATAATAAATAAACATTAGCGTAATTCTTGAAAATACTTTATTAAAGTTGAAAACAATTCTTGTGTAAAGCGAAATAAATTAAATTCTTTTTGCACATTTATCGAACTTACGACGTGGAATCAAATGGAATTAAAAAAGTGTACTATTTTGCCTACTACTTTTATTTACGGTGTACTGTTAATATTGTTTTGTCTGTACTGTATAGGAGACAGTAAAAACAAATTATTATTATTATTATTATTATTATTATTATTATTATTATTATTATTATTATTATTATTATTATTATTATTATTATTATTATATAGGCATCAATGTGATAGGTGACGGATTATATAGTTGAACAGCATAGGTAAACAAATGAAATACCAAGTTGACTTTTATAAGAAAGTATAATACATACTCCAAGTATTGAAATACACGCCATCGTGTTGGGATTCAATATTTCGACATTAATTATGTCATCATCAGGAATTGTCTAAAAAAAAAAAAAAATGTCATCATCATTCCTGATGATGACATAATTAATGTCGAAATATTGAATCCCAACACGATGGCGTGTATTTCAATACTTGGAGTATGTATTATACTT